GGTGTCCTTGGGCTTGTTGGATTCGTCTCGGAAAACCTGATGCACCCATGATATTGGATCATCAATTTGGACAGTATCGAAAATGCCAAAATCTCAAAATCTCCATAGGGCCAGAATCTAATGCCTCAAACTCCTCCGATTTGTCCCCAACTTGGTCTTTTTTATGTGCCAACTCCAAGATTACAAAACAAAGTGAAAATAATAAAAACTAAAAGTTGTGCAGCAAACTTGATAAAACGGCTAAAGATCGGGAACTATGCATTATGGAGGTTACTAGAATAAGTTCTGAATGTGACACAAGATACACTCATTAGCATCCTCAAAAAAAAAGATACACTCATTAGCTGTCATGCGTTGCATCTCTTGTGCTTAAGGGAAATTTGGTTCGTGCCATTTCCACAAGGTGTATAATCGAATTCTTCCACTCAAACTTGCAATTTCTGTTTGTGCCACTAACGCTTGCGAAGAAACTTGGTCCAAGCCACTTCGCGCCATCACAACCAATTGCCATTAGTTTGTCGTCAAGCGTCGTTTCCTTACATCTGGAACTCGTTGCTTCACCACGTGTGTTAACTGAAGCGAGGAGGAGACTTCGGTTGACTCTTTTGGTCAATGTGGGTCCCATTATTGAGGCCATAATTTTAAAGATCTCGACGCGAGAAATTCAACGATGAAAATGGTTCGGAATTTGGATGCATGCTTAAAAGATATGTTGCGACAAGTGGCACACATGCATTATGCTATGTGCCACTTGTCAATGCCTAAGTAGATTGGGGTGGCCTTTTGGAAGGGGCACCCTTAATTAGTGATTTCGTTTAGGAACTAGTGATTTCATTTTTAGGCTACTAGTTTTTTGAGGGGTTAAAACCAAGCTTTATTGATCAAATTCCACATGGTGTGGGATACTAAATGGGTCATGGGATTCGACAAGCCAGACATGCCGTTTCTGATCCAACGAACCAGAAAACTTGGGTAACCTATCGACATCGTCATTAGTAAGACACGGACATAAAACGGACAAATGGGTCCGTGCGTTGGAGTTGCTCTTAGAGCATCTCCAGCCATGCCCCTAGAACGGCCTTCCCAGGCGATTTTTTTCTGCCGACGCCGAAAAAACGGCCCAGTCACGTCCCCAGGAGCCCGTTTTTCGCCGGCTTGGGCCGAAATCAGCGCCGGCAGACCAAGGCCGAACCCGACGCGCCGGGGGGCGCTTGGGGGCGCCGGGGCGAGCGTTTTGGCGCGAAGCAGCCGCGGGCCCGCCGAGTCAGCGAGATGGCCGCTTCGTCGACCTCATCGCCTTGATTCCCGCGGGAATCAATGCGAAGGCTGTCACGCTGCCGTGCCTGTCATTGTTGCCTCACGGGCGGCACAGTGAAGACGCCGCCGACGCGCGTCCGCTCGCATACGCCACACGTCCGCCCATATGCCGCCCCGCCACCACGCTTCGGCTATAAAAGGCGCCCCTCCCCGCCGGTGAGCGCCACAACCTCCCCCTCTTCCTCCCGCAAAATCCTTCTTCCCGTCGACGAGCTCTCCCACCACCGCCTTCCCCGCCGACAAGTGAAATGGCCGAGAGATACCCAGGCGACGGCGCAGCGGCGAACGGCTTCGACCGCCGACACCTCCACGAGCCGGAGGCGCGCCTTCTGTACGAGGCCGAGTACCCGGCGTCCCCCGACATGCGCGTATCGGGGGCGTGGAGGATGAGCGCCGGCGGCGTCCCGGTGCCGCCGGACCCTGAAGGAGCCCCACGACGGGCGGAGATCGCCCGCATCCGCTCCTCGCTGACGGAGGAGGAGCGGAACGAGCCGAGGTACACGCCCGACAGCGAAACGCTGTGGACGCTGTACTTCGAGTGCCACCGCGAGGAGCAGATCGCCTCCGTCAACGGCATCATCCCCCGCGGCGCCTCAACTCCGAAGGATGGCGTGAGTGGTGGGGCGTCCCCGGCCGCACACTCGACGCCGTCCTCGACCACATCGAGACCGGCAATGTGCCGCCGCTGGAGTACCCGACGCGCCCCTCCTTCTCTCACCGCCGCGGTAGTTCCTGGATACCACGGCAAATGGAGCCGGGGTCGTCCTCCTCGTCGGGCTCCGGCTCGCCGGCCCTCCGCCCCGTCAAGCCTGAGCCGGAGGAGACACTGCTTGGGCGTCGCGCGCGGAGCGGCGCCCTCTTCATCAACGAGCCCTCGCCTGCGACGACACCGACGAGGCGCTCCCTCCGCCTGGTCCAGCATCTGGTGGTTCATGGTCACCGTGGTTCCAACATTCACTGCTCACGGTTCCAACATCTGCAAAAGAAAAAAAAATGGTTGTAGCAAAAATTGGCGGGCGTGGTCACCGCGGTTCCAGCAAAAAATGCACCGGTTGCAGCTTTGTCGCATGCCGGCCGAAGCAAAAATCGGCGGCGTGGTCACCGCGGTTCAAGCTTGCTAATCTGGTTCCAGCAAAAAAAACACCAGTTGCAGCTTTGCCGTGTGTCGGTTGCAGCTCCTAGTTCGGCCGGTTCCAGTAAAAAGCGACGGTGGTCACAACTCTCGTCGGTCGGTTGCAACTTCTCGTTCGCTGGTTCCAGCAAATGTCGCCGGTGGTCACAACTTTTGCCCAACCAGTTGGAGCTTCAATGCTGGGCGGTTCACCTATGCCCATGGGGGGGGGGTAGGAGGTGAAGGAGGAGGCGACCATGGCGGCAAGCATCGGCAGGGCCGGCCTTGGGGCATGGGCGGTGGGGTAGGAGGTGAAGGAGGAGGCAACCATGGCGGCAAGCATCGGCAGGGCCGGCCTTGGGGCATGGGCGGTGGGGCGGCGGCCCAGGGCCCAGGCGGGAGGGGGGCCCATGATGTAGTACATATACATACTAATGCCCAGCAAAAAAATGGTAAAAATAGAGATGGGCTAGCGCGCGAGGCCCATGCGATCGATTACGAAGCGTTACGCTAGCGCCAGCGATCGGTACCGGCTGCTCATTTTCTTTTCCTTCGTCTGGAGTCTGGATGGTTGGTCTCTAATCTCTTTGTCCTGCCTGCCGCTCGGCGCTCGATGCCTTGCCGTCTCGGTCGCCGCCAGCTTGCCGCTGTGCGCGCCGCATAGCAGTCCGGTAACCCAAAGTCCGCAACGAGCCAACGAGGTAATCCATGATCCATTCCATCCATCAGTTTCTTCAGCCCGTATATGTATCCATGATCCATCCATGTTCCTGATGACCTGATCCATCCCCCCAGATCCCAATTTGACAATTTCAGTAGTTTGTACGTATTCAACTATCCACATGTATGTCTAGGGTTCCAATCATCGGATTATAAATTCTTAATTCTTTGTACCCTCTTTTCTTCATAATTTTAGGACGTTATCCTGCCATGTTGCCTAAGAAGAAGCAACTGTTGGTGCTGAAAAAAGGAGAAGAAAGAAAGAAAGTATTATTGCATCAAGAAACGTCCAAAGAAACTTTTTTTGAAGCACTGAAGTATTATTGTTGTCGATGGAGTCAGTTGAATTTGGTTCTTATTTGAGGTAATCACGGCATGTTAGTTTTATTTTACCATCTTTTTAGTATTATTGTTGTTGATGGAGTCGGTTCGAATTTAGTTATTATTGTTGTCAATGAAGTCAGTTGAATTATTATAGTCAAATTTGGTTGAAATTTATATAGGGGCCCATGTCACCGAGTTCACCTAAGGCCTTCCAAAACACAGGGCCGGCCCTGAGCATCGGGGAAAGGAGGAGGCGCCATGGCGATGAGCATCAAGGGAGAGGGGTCGCACGAGAGGGAAAATACTCCCTCTGTTCCAAAATTCTTGTCTTAGATTTGTCTAGATACGGATGTATCTAATACTAAAATGTGACTTGATATATCCGTATTTAGACAAATCTAAGACCAGAATTTTGGGACGGAGGGAGTAGATAAGAACAAAGGGAGAGAAGAGATGTGTGTGGGGCCGCATGAATGCGCCCTAGCGTTCATGGTTGTAGCCGCAGGTAGGTCATGAGCCACACTTAGGCCGGTCGGTCGTAGGGAAACGTTTCCCATTTGTGAAGGGCCAGTCGTTTATTTTTCAGAGATCATTGTTTCCGGACGATGCGAGTGCTGTAAAAAGTAACGGATGAGCACTATAGCATTTAGATTGATCAGCACCCAGAGAAAACAAAATGCACAGCCAGTAGCACCAAAGCAGCAAACCATACATACCTACACAGATGCATACATCCAAGCAAAACAAGCCCTCGGCCATGCGCTGGTTTTGCGGTGACGGTACAGAACAAGTTTCTCCAATGCAGGCTGGGAACTAAAGCTACAGCCACAGGCCCACAGCAGCTCACTTCTTGAAACGGCCATTGTGCGGTTCTTTGGGTTTCTTGTTGCTCTTCTTCTTCCGAGCCGCCTTTTGCGCCGCCGCTTCATCCGCCTTCACCCATTCCGCCTCGTTATCTGAGCATCCAGTCCATTTGTCGGCTTCGTCAGTCTGCGACTGGACATCGGTTTCGTTGTCTGAGCATCCAGTCCATTCGTCTGTCTGCGACTGGACTTTGTTCGTCCTGCCGTCTTCCTTCGCGGACCCCCTTTCGGAACACAGGAAGCTGATGATCATCTGCAGTTTGTTCTCACCATTTTGCCACATTGAGTATAGATCCTCCAGAGTCAGACAAGCTGTCTTCTCCATCCTGTGCAAATGGCACACGAATTATGGATCACCTAGTCATGCATGTTTTACACTAGAAAGGTACATATCATGCAGAAAAAAAGAGGATGTTATCACAAAGATGTGAGCCATACCTGTCTACCAATTGCACTACTGTATTCATACAACAAGATCAGAGCTGGTGCTGATTCAACATTCGCTTACCTGGCAGAACGCTCTCCGAACTGACTGCAGATGCGCCTGACCTCTTCCAACAATTGTGCATCAATCTTTTCTTGAAAGCCTGTTTGCTCCAGCCATGAAAGGGTACTCCTAAGGAATTGGACAATGAATCTTGCATCTTTCTGCAGAAAATCAGCTTTTAGAATAACTTGGCAGTTGCAAAGCAATTCGACAAAGTGGAAAATAACAAAACAAGCATTGTAACATATGAAGCTCACCTGGCCTTGCTTGTTGACTTGAAACCTCTCAAACATATCCCAGAAGGGAGCATTCTCATCACTAAAAGATATTTCACCTGTACTCTCCACCTTATTAATATCTTGTACAGCCTTAGGAATGTTTTTGTTAGCATCAGAATTTTCTGGCAGTGCAGCCTCTTGCTTTGCACAGCTTGGCTCGTCGGAACGAAGAAGAGCCATTATCTTCGGAGCATCATACAATTCCTCCTTGCTAATCATGTAGGCATTTAAGTTTGGGCAGACTGCTCGGGCTTTGCGTGAGCCCACTATAACTACCATACGATCTCCGACTGCGTCCAGTGCATCAGCAAGCACTCTTGTGAAGTTGCTCGGCGTGCGAGGCCTTATTTGCAAAGCACGGACCATCTTCTCAGAAAACTCCAAAGGTAAATCCACAAAGAATCTGCCCCGCTGAAGAGTGCTTGTGAGATCATAGCAATTCTGCAGATCATGAGCCAGGGTTCCTTTTTTGAACACAAGCTCATGAGTTAGGATCAGAGGATAAAGTGTGACCACTAGTCTCCGGAGGACCTCGGAGTATGAACTAGGACTTGACGTCTTCTGTACCCATTCCCAGAGCATATCCTTCTCTGTCAACAGAGTCATAACTGCCTCAAATATGAAACGCCCTGATGAGAATGCCAAGCGATTAAGATCGTAATCTGGGCTCGAATTAGATGCCAGGAAGGTGTCAAGGTAAACCTTGCTGGTACGGCACTCTAGCATATTCACCAACAGAGACTTCGTGCAGTACACACAACCTTTCGGTAGAAGGTATGATGAAGCCATGAAACCAAGGCACTCCATCAGACACACATAGCATATTGGGGATATATAGTCCCGTTCATCCCTCCGCATCACACGACTGAAGGTGAACTCAAGAGCACGCTTAAAGTTCAAGATCAAGGGGGGTCTATCAACACCAGTATCAAGAAATCTCTTCAAACATCGATAAAAATCTGCCCACCTGGAATTGTTGTCCAGGTAATGTACTAGTCTTGAAAGTGTAAGATAGTTTGGGAAGCGTAGAACCCTTTGTCTCGGGCCACGTGTATATATTGAGGCAATGCCTTGGCACATAAGTTTACAGAGAGAACCGATCGAGAGAGAGGGAGATCGGTTAGAGAGAGATCGACCAGGAGAAGGTCGTTACAGGAGATAAGGAGAGAAGAAGAGATAGAATCGAATACAAGTTAAACACCTCTTCTATCCCTATACAATAATTCTAACACTCCCCCTCAATCTAAACCTCAAGCCTTGCTAAGGTTGAGATTGTACTTGAACTCATCGAGTCTTCTCTCTGTCAAGGGTTTTGTGAACCCATCCGCAAGTTGATCCCTGTAGGAATAAACCGGATCTCAAGTAGCTTTCGAGCTACTCTCTCTCTGACAAAATGGAAGTCCACTTCAATATGTTTTGTTCGTGCATGAAAAACAGGATTTGCTGAAAGGTAAGTTGCACCAATATTGTCACACCACAGCCGTGCAGCTTTTGGAGCTTTAGTCCCAAGTTCATAAAGTAATGTTTGTATCCACATCACTTCAGCTGTAGCATTTGCCAAGGACTTATATTCAGCCTCCGTACTGGATCTTGAAACAGTAGCTTGCTTTCTTGCACTCCATGACACAAGGTTAGATCCCAGAAACACAGCAAAACCACCAGTAGATCTCCTATCATCAGCACACCCTGCCCAGTCTGCATCAGAATACACAGTAACAAGCAAGGAAGGGGACTTAACAATCTGAAGTCCAAGTCCTTGAGTATACTGAAGATACCTTAGAATTCTTTTAACTGCTGTCCAATGAGTGGTTGTAGGAGCATGTAAATATTGACATACCTTGTTGACGGAATAGGAGATATCAGGACGTGTAAGAGTCAAATATTGCAAGGCACCTACAATACTTCTATAATTTGTTGCATCCTCTGGACCAAGAGCTTCTCGACTGTCAATTGTAAGCTTTTCTGAGGTGGAAAGTGGTGTACTGACCGGTTTGCAATTCTCCAATCCCACTCTCTTTAGAACATCAGCTGTATATTTCTCTTGTGATAGAAGTATTCCATCTCTAATTTGCTTTACTTCTATGCCAAGAAAGTAGTGAAGATCACCTAGATCTTTGAGAGCAAACTCAAGCTTTAAATCCTTAAGCAAACAAGTAGTGGCCTCTTGACTTGAGCTAGCAACAATTATATCATCAACATAAACAAGGACAAAGATAGTAATATTGCCTTTGCTATAAAAGAACAAGGATGTATCTGCCTTAGATGATGTGAAGCCAAACTGCTGTAGCTGCATGCTCAACCTGGAATACAATGCTCTTGGAGCCTGCTTCAGGCCATATAAGGCTTTATCCAACTTACATACATAATGTGGTGTGCTGTGACTTTCATAATCTGGTGGTTGCCGCATGAACACTTCTTCCTCAAGAACACCATGAAGAAACGTGTTCTGAACATCTAGCTGTCTTAAGCTCCAACCTCTGGAAACAGCAATGGACAAAACAAGACGAATAGTAGTTGCTTTAACCACAGGACTAAAGGTATCATCATAATCAATTCCAAACCTTTGCTTGAAGCCCTTTGCAACTAACCTTGCCTTGTATCTGTCTATACTGCCATCTGATTTTCTCTTAATCTTGTATACCCATTTACAGTCAATTATATTAGTGCCATGCTGCGGTGGTACTAGATGCCAAGTCTGATTTTTTATAAGTGCATTATATTCATTATCCATGGCTTCCTTCCAATCTCTATTAGCAAGAGCATCATGCAGATTAACAGGTTCACTGGAAGTGGCAAGGAAAGCACGTTTGGTCGGATTATACCTGATTGTACCATCACTATATTGTTTTTCTTTAACAATACCTGACCGAGACCTGGTGTTTCGACGAAGAGGCAAAGAAGCCAGAGAAACGGTTTCTGTCGGATGTGGCGCAGAAGATCCTGCTGCTTCGGTGTTGTGCACAGAAGATCTAGGCAGATCGGGCTCCTGATCCGAGGAAGATTGACGTCGGAGGCGCTGCTCCTCGTTTGGCGCGCAGCCAGGGCCGACCGGCGAATCAGACCCGCCTGGCGGGTCCCGTGGTGTCGCAGCAGAACCGTCCGAACCGGTCGGTGGGGCCCAGG